GTTGAGAAGAAGAGAGTAAAATATTCCCAATTGCACATAAAGAAAGAGTAAAATGGTTTGTTTAAGTGGAAATTAACATGACCAAAATCTTAATCCGAATTATCTCTTTGTGTGTACATACATGAAAATGCAACACTAACACCCAAAATAAATACTCTATATCAAGACGTATACCTGCAAACTCAGAACGGAAAGACCAAAAAAGGGTATACAGTACACAAGTTCCAAAACTAATCAACTCCCACTAATAAGTAGGGACGTTTGGATCGACCTCATACGCCCAGCCCTCCAGTCCTCCGATGATGTCTTTGGCCGATGTGAAACCCATCTTCTGGAGATACTGAACAGCCCTTTGAGAATCGTTACCCCTTCTACATATTACGTATACTTGCCCACCTGAACCGGAATCAGTACCCCTCTGGTCTTCCTTTTCCTTTAAGGCTGAAGTTATTTCCGGCAACCGAGCCTCCAATCGTGGGAGTGGGATGTTTAAGGAATTCGGCAGAGAAACAATCTTGAAGTGATGTTCTGGGCGAACGTCGACCAAAACATGTGCCTCGCCACTAACTAGTTTCTCCTTGTACTCTTTACTGTTTATTCTGGAGTCTGGCTGAAGTAAGTTCAACTTCAAAGGTAACTGTATTGAATAAATAGCGTGATTGTTAATACCAGTTCTCAATCCAATCATACATTTAAAATCAGATACTTTAAAAGAGACAAATTGTGAGACAAATTTTTACCGGAGTCAGTGGAGAATGAGTGAAGTTTTCGTAATCAAATTCTTGAAATTGCTGCTTAGAGAATGGTGCTTTCACACCGCACACTACGCACTGCGGTGACCTTCCTCGAATCTTAACCTGGAATACAAAGAAAATTTCTAAAATGCGCACCAACAGACAGATAAGCCATATCTGATAAACGTGAAATGTCAACTGTGAAGCTAATTATTCATTTTCAGTTCTAAAAGAAAACAAATCCAGATTTCAAAAAAGCAAATCCACGTAGTAGGATGGTAACTAACTCCTTATTAAAAGTTAGGCACAAACGACCTGAAATCGAACATGTAATCCAATATCCAAAGAATGGAGAGGTGTTTAGGGGAAGGGAAGGACGAATGGTCATTGTGTAGGGGGTCCACTGGACCAAAAGCCTAAATAACTAACATACTGAGGTGACATTGATTACGTACATGCAAAGCCATATGGCTTCAACAATTCTTGTTCTAAGACTAATGCATTCATAAACTCAAAGCAAATTAAAGTCTACTGGATTTCAGTGATACTAAGATGAAGCGTACATTACGTATCCGTCCTGACAATGCATCAAATAAAAGCATGCGTTCTGAGAGTGGTTCTCCAACTGCACTTGCAATCTTAATAGCTTCTAGGGCTTGGAGACAGCCGATGACACCTGGAACTGAAATAATTGAGTAGTAAGAAACAGGGACTTGGTTTCTCAAGCAAGGAATGAAAATACTAAGTGATATATTTTAAATCAAACAAGAAATTAATGATGATTAAACTCCGGATTACCAAATTTTCCTCCTAACCACTATACAAGTTATCAAACTACTTCTCTTTGTAGAACATTTCACCTTGTACAGCGGCAGACTGGGATTGTTAATAGGTAGTTTTCCAGAACTTTATATTCCATGAATTTTTAATAAAAACAATTTATTGACATACCAACTCCTAGGACACCAGCGTCAGAACATCTTTGACATGCAGTTGTAGGTGGTGGAGTTGGAAATAGGCATCGATAGCATGGACCACCATTATAATTGAAAACCGTGAGCTGCACAATTATATTTGGAGTAAATACTTGGAAACTTTAACATGATAAAATACGGCAAATGACAATTTATACTACCTCATTATACAAAATCATATATTACAAATGAACCAAACAAGATTTCTACACAACATACCTGCCCTTCTAATCCCACTGCAGCACCAGATACAAGAGGCTGTAAGAGTATATCAGTACCCATTAGTACTTAGTGGAGAAAATTGAATAAATGAGTAAATGGAAAGTTAAAACAATACAAGAACAACCTACATATCCATACAATATATATACACATATATATATATATATGTTGCATGTATGAAAACCATGAGCTGGTAAATAAAAAAGGTAACACAGAGTGCCTTCGTAACATCATCACAAGGAGCCAATTTACCTTCCCTAACACCACACAACAATCGTTAATCATGTAACGACTAGGAGCATTGTCTGTTGCATCTACTATTATATCATATCTTAGAGATGAGTTAAGGATGATGCTATATTTTCTTCAAAATAAAAGGATGACGCTATATTTCAGCAATTTGGGAACAATAATAAATATATAAGATTGTAAAAGTGTATCTCTGAATTACGATAAAGGAACAAAAGATTTTAAAAAATTGAAAATCTTCAAGGATACTTGCTCATAATTTCCAAAGCATTGGATGTACGTAGTGGTTCTTGGTACTCCACAACCTGAATAGTGGAGTTAATCCTGGGACATGAATCCATGTTAGAATGACGCAAAATAACTATAGTAAACAGGAGTTTTTTCAACCAAATAAAAAACAGGAGTTTGTCTATTAGAAGTTAGAACCCAGCAATTGACTGTGTTGACCTGGCCTGTATTGAAAAAACATTGAAAAAGTAAGCTAGATCCCCCATGCAGCCTCCCTTCCCCAACCCCCGAACCCTCCACCCAATGGCACCCCTTCCTTCCCCATCTTCACAGCCAGTGGTGGAGCTACATTCATTATCTTGGTGTGGGTGATGGGGGTGGGACCCTGGTTTGAAAAAAACTTTCAAAGAAATGCAGAGGTTTGGCGGTTTTTCTTATCAACTTTGCATACCCTTCTGGGACAGAGTAGATACGCTCCGGTCCACAGCCACCTACCTCCAAAGCAACCATTAAATAGTCCCTCCTCTCCCTCTCTAGCTCTCAGAGGGGTGGCGAAGGGATTTTGCTGGGTTTACGCAACAGACAAGGGTAAAGTTGGAAATTCGTTGAAAAAAAACTTAGTGCTGGTGTATTGTATATTCTGAGTGTTAATAGAAGCCCTCAAACAGAATTTGATAGAAATCAAAGGCCAGTATATCATTTGCTATCTACTCCAATATAGGTCATTCTTTTAAGCACTGAAAAATATTCCCAAAAGAGAGACATACGAATGACAAGCAGCTGCAGCAGATTTCACTTTTGGCTGACCAATAAAACTTTCAGTGTGGATAATCTGAAATAGGAAAGGAAACAGTAAAAATTCGTTTAATATAAAGCGAAAAAATATCCACATACATCTGCGCGCACACAAACTCCGCTTAACAAAGCGCACTAAGTCTGCATCACAATAGTAAATTAACTGAGCTTTACCAGTTAGCATTGCTATCTTATATACCATTAAATACATGACATAAAGTGAACAATATGAAGAACAAGAGTAGGAACATGATTTCCAAATTGTACCTGTCTGTGCATATTATTGAGCTCAACCACATCATGATCAACGACCCCCAATCGGCCTAAAGATTCAGTTCCCAAAAAGCAGAAGAGTTCAATTTCAGTTTCATGGTATCAAATCATCATATAGACAATATCTATAGTAGGCATTGTTAAAATCCCAATTAGCCGGAAACATTACCAACACCAGAGGCTGCAAGATACAGCAGAACAGGGGAGCCTAATCCTCCGGCTCCGACCACCAAAATCGATGACTTTAAGAGCTTTGACTGCCCTGAGTCAATCAGGATATAAGAGTCCAATTAGAAAATCTCAGCCATTAAAAAAGATGCAAAAATCATCTCATCGTTTACATAGATGTTATATGAATTACAAAAGCTCAAAAATCATTCTTTCATCTCAATGCCTCAACTTTTATTTTTTCACAAGAAGCCCCATTTAGAGTCTAGGATTGGATAGGATCACATAACCCACTAATTCAACAGGTATGGTGACCGAAAAAATAAAAAATTTGTGTCCAACTTCAACGTAGAAGATGGATTGCTAATTAAGTAAACTTATCCATTCCAATCCCCCAAAATGGTGAAATTACAATGGATAAGTTTCCTTCGTGTCTAATCCCCTTTAAATCCCACAAAATGTAAAATCATTCACCCCTACGTGTAATCCACCTTTAATATACATATATAATGGATTATCCGTTCCAATCCAATCGTAGATACCAAACGAGAATTAAGTTCTTTGTATTACCAAAAATGCAAAAAGAAATTACCCCCAAAAATTACTATTAGAAGTGAGCTCTTTTGGACAATTCTAAATCCTAATTAGGTATGGTTTATAAACATTATAACTTTGCAACATATGCATGCCATACATGTATACATACATACATACATAAACATATAAAATAAACATATACACAGACAGGGACTCATAAAATTATACCTTGGACTCCGAAAGAAGGGAGCAAGAGGTGGCGACTGTAGCGGTAAATCATCTGAGGCGACAAATCGTGGCCGTAGCCCGAACCAACGGACGGGATAGTGGGAGGACAAGAGCCATTGGAAACGCTGCCGTTGGGCTGCTGAAGGGTAATCTCTTGGAGCCGAGCTTCGAGGGCTGAGATTTGACGCTCTATTTCGCTCTTACTGGCCTTCAAGTCTTCGAGCTGGCGAAGAATCGCAGAGGCCTCGCCGCCGCCGTGATCCATGGAGTCGCAGTAACAGTCCCAGAGAGTAAAAGCTGAACCGAGCAGGGAGCTTTTGAGGTTTGGAAGAGACGGTTGCAGCTCGCGCCCCTTTGCGGCTTTTGTCGATGTTTCGCCTACGAGGGGCAATCTTGTCATTTCACTCATTTGTTCAAAACGTCACGCCCTTGACGCCGTTATCATCCAAGCTCTCTCTCTCTCTCTCTCTCTCTCTCTGTGTCCCTCCCCCCACCCCCTCCTACTGTGCAAATTCATCAGAGAGAAAATTAGGTAAGTTTATCTTCTGAATTTCTAGTCGCATGCATGAAGGAATTTAATTTGGTTTCGAGAGGCTAAGGATTGATGTTTAGGATAGTAAATTAGCAAGTTAATTTGGTTTTATAAATTTCTTAATTGCCAGAAGAAAAAAATTAGGAATATTTCTATTAAAATTGGTTCTGTGGAGCTATTAGAGCTTGCGTATTAGGTGTTTGTGAAAATTCCCCATCGAGTTAGAAACAAGGATATGATGCAAATCTGAACGTGGTGTGTGTTGGTATGTGTGTATGTAGGTATAGCGTAGAGGGGTGTTACATTGAGATGACAGGATGCTTAATATACCTATTTTTTTCGATTGTTAGATCGAAGAAGGAAGTTCAATTCATCAAGGATCAAGTTTTGGAGTAGCAGACGCCACGCCACCTTCGTTTCGAGGTATGGAAATCTCGAACTTGGAATCTGGCTGCTTTCGTGTTGTGTTTTTCCTTGAATGCTCTGGATTGTATGTTTGAAATCAAAACTGAAATGCTGTTGCAATGTTTGATGAGTGGGGTTTGTTTTGGTCAGTATTATATCTACTCTTCATGGTTATGCTTTTACTGTTAACTCTTCCAAGTGTTGTTTCGGAACGGAATTTACTCGAAACCATGTTGAAATTATTTGAGTCATGTTTTGAAGTTAAAGTGTTAAACCATTGCTGTCAGAAGGTAACTTGGATTTTTCCAGCAGAATAATGAATTAGGATAGTTGTTTGAGCTGCAAGTAACAAAAGCTACACCTGATTTTCTGGATTCCTGCATCACCTTCTTCACAGTCAGCTGTGGCTGGACTTTGGTTAATCAGCCCGAACTCATGAAATATAGGATTATGAAAGGCTTTTGTCTATGTTACTCTGTCAATCTCAATTTTTTTGCACTTAACATTTTAAGTAAGGTGAATTTTTACTTGATTTCTACACAGCAGAAAGACCTTTTACGTGTTGGATAATAATGTTTGATCAAGTTGGATTGAGAGAATGAACTGATGGTACTTTATCTGTTTCCATTTTTTACTATGCTTAATTTTCTATTGAAAATGAGTTGGCAAGATGCGGCAGCTCTCTTTTCACTTTGGGCCTTGAGAGTCGTTGCATCATGCTAGAAAAACCAGGAACTTTTAGTTTTAGAGAGACGAAGGGATTCTTGACCACCTAATTGTAAAATAAGGCATAATTGGCTGACAGAAAAAGTTGGCACGTTTGGCTTCTGACATTGGCGAAGATATGTTTGTGTTTGTGGTTGTGTTGCATGTATGTGTGCATTTGTGTCTGTTTTGTTAGTGAAAGTAGTACAGCAATTATTTTTGCCTGTTTTTGGCACCCAGAAAATATGTTTGAGGAGCAGAACCAGTAATAACTTTCAGAGCCACTTTTAATTGCTGCCTCAGCTCCTTTAATTCATTGACGCAAGTAACTGGTAGTTACTCCCCTTCGGATTTTGGTGGAACATAATGCCTCGATACAAAGATGAACCTCCAGCGGTTCGCGTTTACACAGTTTGTGACGAATCAAGGTCTGTCCATGGTGCTTATGTATGTTTCCAGAAAGTAGAAACTTGTTTTCAGTGTTTTGTTTATGCATATATTTTGTGGCAGGTATTTGATTGTGAGGAACGTTCCATCTTTGGGTTGCGGCGATGATCTGTTGAAATTGTTTGCATCCTACGGAGAAGTAGAGGAGTATTTTACTATCCTTTCTCTTGTACAAGTTTTAAGTCTTTAATAATCCAACTGTAAAGTGTAGACTGTCGTCCTTCAAATCATTGTAACTTTGGTTGTTTTCCATATTCAGGTGTAAACCAATGGATGAAGCAGATTGTGATCAATTCACCGACGTTTATTGGATAAAATTTCGTCTGGTCACCAATGCCAGGTGATTATGTCTGATGATAACTTGTTGATAATAGTTAAACATAGATCTAACATCTAAGTACCAGACCCTATTGGTTTTAACATTTTAGGTTTGCAAAGAGAAAATTGGATGAGTATGCTTTCCTCGGGAATCGACTTAATGTATCATATGCTCCTGAATTTGAGACCCTTTCTGATACAAAGGATAAGCTGGAAAGCAGGACAAGAGAAGTTCTAGGACGATTGAACCGTATGTTCTTTTGTATAGTCATGTGACCAATTGATTTAAACTTATCATATCTCCCAGAAACATGATATATTTATTTATGATTTCAGCCAGAAGATCTAAGGGGTCTACAGTCAATAAGTCTGGTGCTTTGACTGACCCTTCTTTGCGTGCAATTCCCACTCAGATTGATTGCTTTCCCCAGCATGTAAACTCAAGTCAAAGGTATTGCGAACTTTTAATTGGAAAATTGCTCTTCTTGTCACGGACACAAAAGGCATTTGAAACTGGTGTGCTCAATTGCCTTTCTTTTTCTGGTTAGGGACTCTGGAGAATCACAACTTGCTTCACACGTTACTAACCCTCCTCTTTCAAGAGTTTCATCTGACCAGGTTTGTTATTATTTTCAAATGATTACCTTTAGGCCTCGTTTGGTGTCTAGATTGGATTGGAATAAATAACCCACTATGTTCACGGTATATTGAAGGTAGAGGTGAATGATTTTTCATTTCGAGGGGATTAAACATGAAGGAAACTTATCCCTTCTATTCCTACCATTTTTGGGCAGATTGGTCGGGATAAGTTTCCTTACTGAGTCATTTCATATTCTACCTTCAAGTCAGGCACAATTTTTTTCACTTGTCCATTCAACACACCTTGAATATAAAGGGTTATCCATTCCAATACAATCTTAGATGCCAAACGAGACCTTATTCTTATGCTACTTTTACTGTGTTAAATGGTTAAACTGACATTTGATCCGCTGTAATTCATTGAAGGAGTATTTTCCTTCCCAATCTATGAATCAGACTGTCAAGATGGTGAGGGAGAAGCTCAATAAGGTGATAACATCAATTGCATGTGTTTTTTCTTCGACCTTTGTTCTGCGTTTTGTAAAATGTAATGCATTTTCTCCTCTACCAGGTTCAGTCAAGTAGTGAGCATCTGCAAGATGAGCGTGCATCCAAGAAAACACGGGTGGACAATCGAAGGAGAATTTAATTATGTTTTTTTCTTTCAGAGGAGCAACCCTAGAGGATCGAGAAATTGTCCTCTCGGTCTCGTTTGGCTTTCATCAAATTGTGCAAATCAGATCGCAAGAATTTTGTAGGACGGTCCCAAAACTGATTGATACTGGTGTGGTACGACCTTCTACTCAAAGTGCGCCATACATTTGTAAGACAGACCTACAAGTTTACTTGCCATGTAAACTACGTTGAGTAGCAATTTTAATAGATAATAGTGTAAATGCTACCTGTTTTGTAAGGGACAAAAAAATTCCCACTAGGCCCCTATCCGCCACTGACTAGCGCCTTAGAACCTTGTTTTTTACCAGGTAGCATTGTAGATTGCACATCCAGTGCGACGCTTGTAATTCAGTTCTGCCGCAGGTTTTACTTGGAACGCAAATCTGAGTTGGGCGCAACCCTCCCTTCATTGCCACAAACCGAGCAAATAAGACCAAAACCAAATCATTCGGGTGAATGAGAGAATAAGACCACCGTGATGCAAAACCATTTATATGCTATACAAAATACAACACAAGCGGTAAGACCTATACCGAGGATAACGTTGAATTAGAATTGCATAAATGGCGAAGAAAAGGAACAACTCTAACCCCAAATCCAGATTAATTCTACTTCTGATAGAATATCAACAGTGATTAGCATGAAAGACTTTTATCAACTTTTCCCTTTGACTTAAACAGAAACTTCAACTTTTCTCCAAGTTAAACAAAACATAGAGTGGCAAAGCACAAGTGCTTAAAATCTCACAAAGCAAGTTCATCTTTATTCCGAAACAAAGTTGTCAAAGAATCCAAACCTTTTGAATCCATAGGCACGTTGACTTAGCAATCACGGTTTATCTCTCGGAGCAATCTGCTTCTCGTAACGCTGCCTAAACTTGGCCATCTGGCTCATATGCTCAGCCATTTGGCGTTTCGCCTTCAAGTGGTAGACTTTACCAGCGTGGTGGATCTTGGGCATCATAACCTGCATCAATCTCCCACTCTGTGTCACGTACGATATCCATTGCATCTGAGGGTGCATCCCTTTCTTCATCTCCTCCGATAATCTGCAGTTTCAAAGCATCACTTCTCAGTTATCAAAACATCACCTTTCACAAATTCACACCCAAATCTATCAAAAATCAAACGAAATTGAGAAACAAAATAACTATCACAACTCAAAAACACAGAGCATTTTTCAGTGTATCAAACGGTTGGTAGAAGCATTTCATCAAACAGTTGGTGTTCATCTTCACTTTAAGCCCCAAATTTCATTACTCTGACTGGTTCCCTTTGAATATTATAAAGCACCAAGTTTTACTTATACGCGTTTCATCAAACAGTTGGTCTGCATTGACACTGTTTCCTTCGATGTTCATAATCACGTTAGCTAAACCCTAAACCCTAAACCGTAAGTGAATGTGTCACCACTAAAAACAGAGGATTCGAAAATATACGTAAAAATATAAAAGGGATGGGAAATCTAATGGCGTGTGAAGTGGAATAATACTAGTACTTACAGAGATTAAAGCAAAGCCGACGACAAAATGAGAGCTTCCAAATACGATCGTCAGGTTTGATACAAAATCAGCCGCTCTGACGCCCTTCTTGTTGCTTGGTCGTCAAAACAGAGTAATCAAAATGTGTCCGACGGCCTTGTTAACGCGGGCTTACAATGAGATTTGGGCCTCCACCTTACAATTTTGATGTTTTCTCCCAATTTTCGAGGCTGCTATAGTACATTGAAATACTTATTTGGCACATCGTATAAAGGACCGCATATGAATAATTATACCAATCTGGTTGTTTGCTGCAGTTTCGTAATACATAGACTCCGGATTAATTGTCCTGGCCCCACTTATTATAGACAGCTCACGCGTATAACTAATCTTTACTAATTTATTCTCAATCAAAATCCTCTAAAATTACCAATTCAACGTTCTAATTAAATAGAATATGAATAAAAAATATATGACAAAAATGTAATTTTACACAATCAAATTTTTTTTTTTTTCAAAATCTCATCTACATGTAATCTTAACATATCTTTAATTAATTAAAAAAAAAAACAATACAAAACAAAATTTCACACTCCCACATTCTCTATCATTCTCTTTCTCTCTCCTACTTCAAAAAATAAAATAAAAAAAAATTTCGCACCCTTTGTGTGTGCTCATATACTATACATTCTAAAACCTACAAATGACCATTTACCATAGATGTGTAAAGGTGTTATACCCTTACATAACGGCGGCATGGGTTCAAACCCACCAATTACTAATCTAACGTCTAACTTATTCACGCATCGTTTCACTCCAAAAAAAATACACTCTAAAACCTCAGTATTATTTAGTCGGGTAGGAAATTGCTCGCTCTCTCCGTTCCCTCAATCCACCGCACCCAACACCGACTCTCGACGCCGTGTCCGTAGCGAACCACAATGCATTGCTGAAGACCAGCCGATGCCTCACCGACGACCGTATCACCAACGAACTGATGCCCTGATTGTAGATCTGAGGAGGATGGTGAACGTGATGATGGAGCAGGTTCTATGTCTTTGCATTGGCTTCGTTTCGTCCTCCAGAAAAGGGTCTTACAGACTTCATCCTCCAGAAAAGGGTTTTACAGAGTTAACCAGCATTTTGTGTTTAGAGCTTTTTTCGATTTGGAAATGCAAAATTGTGAGCAACTTTGTTCGGTTTACTGGGTTGGGGAAGATGCGGTGGCGAGAAGCCATGTTCCACAATTGAGGTGTTCACGAATTGACTGAGGGTGGGGTGGGTATGGTGTTTGTCACCGGAATTGAATGAGGGTGGTGTGGCGATGGCGTTTGTTGGGGTGTGGGATGAAGGGACAAGGGCGCTGTTTTTTTTCTTTTTGTTTATAAAATTTTTGAAACATGTTAATAAGGAAGTTTAAAAGAAGATAATAGTTTGGAGGCAGAATATATCATCACAATTTTGTTTTTGTTTTTTTTTTTTTTTTGGTCCTTTTTTCTCATTAATAAAATTAACAATAGTATTAAACACAGTATAAATAATACGTCGTTAGTCCGATACTGCATCAAACGTCTGATTAATTTAATCAGTACTATATGGTGGTTATTTATCTTATCAGACAGAAATAATCAATACAGTCTGAACTGCCAAACAAAACCTTAATGTAATTACTTATTGACGGTTGATGTCTCTGTCATTATATATGAATGTTAATAAGTGATTGTAATAGTATAGGACAAGGATTGTCCGCCTTCCCACTTCTAGTGCCCTCCTGTGCCTTATTGTTTGTGTGGTCACAAAATCACGTCAACATTTTATATTACTATTCATTTTTATCTTATTATCTCTATAAAAAAATAATATAAAATGTTGATGTGGCTTAACCTTGACCACAAAAAACAAGAGAGCACGGAAGGACACCGAAAGTGAGAGAGCAGGCAATCGTTGTCCAATAGTATATGGATGTATTGTACTTAAATCTCCAATTTCGAGTGCTACTTATTTCTGCTCAGCTTTCAATGATGTTTTTGACTAGTTTACCCTTATGTTAGAATGACCTAGAATCATTTTTCTTCCATCTCTCATAATACTTGGGGAAATACCCGAAAATGAGATAATTTCTTAATCTTGTGACAGAAATAGGACAAACCGGTCATGTACAAGCCATGCACAAAACCAAAATTATTAAAATACTCACATGTAAATACTAAAAATCAAAAGCCAATTGCATCATTTTCTCATTTGGAAGAGAGGGATGTCAAGAGAGCTCTGTGAGCTCTGGGTTTCTGGGCTGATCTCCGATTTCAAAGAGAGGGAAGTCCAAAGAGAGATGAGAATAGTGAGTTGGATTTTGGATAGACCTCATACCTCTTATTTCGAACAAAGAGATGCGAGAAAGAGGTGAGATAAGTGAGATGGGTTTTGTACTATATTTTATGTTTTGGCCGGAAAGTTCCATTTTTTTCCAATGACTGAAGCTTCGACATGCATAGTACGGTAGGGTGTTTAGTTCCAAGTTCTTTCATCAATGATTTTTGTTTGTAAGATGAATTAATACTTAGAAGTTAAATTAGGGTTTGTATTTCATGTTGGGGCCAATGGATTGTTGAATAAATTTCAGGTTTTGACGTGCTACAAAACTGGGATGGAACAATTTCTAGTTCAAGTACTCAATTGCAAAAACTTGTGAAAATTTTTCCATAATGTGCATATGGTGTGCATGGCTACATCTTAATATGAAAAGCGGGAATGTTCACTAGTTATGATACACGTATGTTGTGCCTCGGAAATAAGTGAGTATGACCACAACCTAGCTGGCCTCGGCAAAAAACTAAATTAAGAAAAAGCTTAGAGGATGTTAAGGATCATGCGTATCCATGAAATAACGACAACGAGTATCATGTTTTCCACATGCATGATTAAGCAGTGTTTGATATACATAACAAAACTTTTCAAATTGCCATTGTAACCTTATATATGTAACAATTATGTTTTAATTGTATCCACTATACCAATAGGTTGCATTAAAGTTTCTTATTAATGTGAAAAGCAGCTTGTTGCTCGATCTCCAGTTTTGTGCATTTACTTTACATATGATGTGCATGTAATGTGCATATAGTGTATATGAACAGGTGATGATGTCATTTTTCTTATTTCAAAGAGGTAGCTGTGAGCTCTGGATTTTTGAGTTAGCTTACATCTGTGAGCATATCATGTGCATGTCGTGTACATACAGTGAGCAAATCAAAATTCATCAAACAAAACACCATCATTTAATGACAAGGCTTTGTTCCACCCTCAATGCAAGTCCAGTGGTGGTCTCGAGCCTCGATTGTTTGCCGTGTTGCCATAAAATGGCTGGAAAACTCATGGCCTGCTTGAGTTTCAATCCTAACAATTGGGGATGAGATTTGTGACAAGGCTAGGTGTTTTGGAATCGTGAGGATGAGATGAAATTGGTGATGGCTTCGATTTGGACAGTGTTGGCCGGGACGATTGTGCACCGTGTGTGCATAATGAGAAAGGGAGAGAGAGTGCATGAGGGAGAAAGTGAGAGAAGATGGAGAATGAGGGGGAGAGAGAGAAAGCAGAGAGAAATAGAGAAATAGAGAAATCAAAAAATGGGAGGAAATAACCCATTTATATACGAGCGCAATTAAGTCATTTCAAGGTGTAAGAAAAATTCTATTTTTGTTTAATTGTTGTGCATGGCATGTGCATATTCAAAATGTCCTATTTCTGTTCTAAGATTAAGGAATTGTCCTATTTTTAAGTATTTCCCTAATACTTTTGACACAACCATATATTTGAATTTGAACTAAACCACACAATAAGTTAATTATAATAAATTAGTATTGAACTTGTTATTTACCAAAATTGAACGTAAATCCCCACTTTTACGTAATCCTTCTATACTAATTTTACCAATACTAGACAAACAACTTGTTAGGCATAGCCACATTAGTTAAGTGCTCCCCCAACACTCGAATTCAAATCTCCTAAATAGTCTAGAAAGGTCGAATACGGTACTTGACACACCCCGATCGAGATCAGGGCGTGCTGGCCGTCACGTGGAAGTGACGTAGCCATGTGCACAGTGCGGAAGCTAGTAAGGTGGTAAAATAAAAGTACGAATAATAAAAAAAACCAGCATACAAAGGTCTAAGTAATAAGTACTAGTGTAAACGAACCGCTAATTCAGAGCGTTAAGTCTACAGCAGTCCAAATTAAAATAATGCGACAACAGTGCACCCGGAGGTTACCCTACATCGGTGAGTGTCTGTCAGAAATGCCTGGAAGCCCTCCGGGGAAACCACCGAACCTGCTAAGCAACTAGAACCTGGAGGGGCGCAAAACAAAAGCGTGAGTGGGCAAAAACAAAGCTCTTTGAAAACCATTTAGTAAAATACATTCTTACCCCTCGCCGTAAAACCTGTATACTTCCCAGAAAAATAAATATAAGTACGTATGCAAAAATAGGCCAATTATGCTCAAGGATATGCCATACCAAATCTCATATTGAAATACAAGTGCTCAGGTATAAACCGTATCAATAACATATCACTGGCAGCCGGAGTCACCTAAAGAGACCTGTGCGGCTGAATCTAGAGCTCAAATCTCAATCTCAATAGCTAAACCTGCCCACGAGTCGGAGCCACCTACAGTGATCTGTATGACAGGCCTGGGTGTAATGCATATAAACGCTCTAGTGCTACGATCACGTGAAGGCTGTGCGAATAATCGCGGGTCACCTACGAGTCGGAACCACCTATAGTGGTTTGTACGACAAGACTGTGCACCTAACTTGGATCCAAGCTGAGCGTGTGGTGCGGGAGGTGAACGACACGTGAAGGACTGTGCCCTACTCAGGGCGGGAGCACTAACACCGGGGGTGCAGGTTATGAGCTCTCTAAGCACCTCTAACCACTATTTAATGCGAATATTAAATAACGCTTACCTGGCACTTATCTGTGCCTCCATAGCACCAATATATATATATATATATATATATATATATATATAACCGTATAAATGAATATATATAATAACCATATATGCAACTAACCATGCATAATAACCAATAATAATAAAGGAATGGCATAAACTAATAAACATATACATAAATTCCTGGGAATTATAAGTATATAGGTATATACGGAAAACAAAAGCCCACTCACTAGTACGTGGAAGGGTCGTAACCCCCTGCCTCGCGTGAGCACGCTCATCCTCGGGATACGTATCACCTATATGCGAAAATACTATAAAAACGTTAATTTTAAAGCACATAACCTTCCTTTCGAAATAACTTCTCAAACATTACTCAAAATGGACAATTGAATATACCAACGTGCTCTACACAACCTCAGGAACACACCAGAATTTTTTAGAAAAATTTTTCACCGCCGCACGCGCAGGCACGTGCGGTGCACACGGACGGAGTCAACTGACACCGTTAGGAATATTCTGTCAAAATTGACAGATTCCGTTAACGATGTCAGGAATATTCCGTCACCTTCTCCGGCGAGTCTCCGGCGACGTCGCCGGCGCCGGAAACTGGGAAAACCTGCAACTCGAGTTTTCTCGTTCATTTTTCAACCGTTTTTCATGATTCTTGCACCAAATTAAAGCTTAGGACTAGTAGAACACGTCCCAACAACTTTTAAGAGCTAAAACCTACTAAATCTCACCTGTCACCAACCTTCAAAACTGGCCAAGTTTGAACAGGGCGATCCTGACGTCCAATTTCGTCCAACAAAGCACTCCGAGGCTCCTTGGGACCTCACTAATACATCTACAAGCTTCAAAATCCCAAAAACGAGCTAGGTTATTTTTGCATGAATAGTAACTAAAACGGACCTTGTGAAATCAACGTGAAAACGTCGAAGTTCCTACCTGAAACTAGTATGATCGTGCTCCCTTCGACCTCACGAGCTCGAATATGGCTTTAGTTCTCTCGATCTGTGGGTGTAGAGTGTGGTGGTGTGTGTGTCCGTACGTATGGTGAATGAGAAGGGGGAGAGAGACTCGGGACAGAGAGCAGGGAAAGGGACAGAGGAATAGGGGGAGTGAGGGTGTGAGTGTGTGGCCCAGATCATGCCAACACACATACAAAACAACCCAAAAACGTAACAGAATAGAACTAGGGCAAAACTGTCTTTTCACGTGTACATTTTCGAAAATTTCGGGACGGGATGTCACAACCTACTCACCTTAATAGAATTTCGTCCCGAAATTCAAAACAACCAAATACCATCCCTAGTGACCAAAGAACAATCTAGGATACAAATCCCTCATCCGGTCTTCTGTCTCCCACGTAGCCTCCTCGACTGAATGATTCCTCCACAGAACTTTCACTAAGTTCACCGTCTTGTTTCTTAGAACCTTTTCCTTCCAATCTAGTATCGTCACTGGTTCCTTGTCATACGTCAAATCTGGATTAATTTCCAAAGGTTGTGGAGGTATCACATGAGATGGATCAGCAACATAATGTCGAAGCATAGATACGTGGAACACGTTATGCACTCTGGCTAGCTCCGGAGGCAACTCCAACCTATAAGCTACCTCACCAACTCGCTTCGTGACCATGTATGGTCCGATGTACCTGGGACTCAACTTGCCTTTCTTCCCAAACCTCACAACACCTCTCCACGGTGAAAGCTTCAGAAATACCCAATCTCCGACCTCGTACGCTCTGTCCGTAGCATGCCGATCCGCTAAACTCTTCTGCATGTCCTGGGCTGCTTTCAGGTTAGACTTGATTACCTGAACGTTTTGAGTAGTCTCCTCAACAATCTCCGGATCCACTAAAACTCTTTCTCCAACCTCTGACCAACACAACGGTGTGCGACAAGCTCTACCATACAATGCCTCAAACGGCGCCATGCCAATGCTCGAATGAAAA